CCTAGAAATAGCACTGGAATACAAACCCAAGGTTTAGGTCATAAAGAGTTGCTTTATCATATCACGGGAGATCTACTGAAGGGATGGGAATGTGAAAGTCGCATGATCAGGGTTGGGCTTGAAAAGATTTAGTTGACATTAGTGGGTAGAAAATCTGGCAACAGAGAGACTGAAAGCAGGCAAACCAATTAGAATATCCTTAGAACAGTCTAAGTAAAAAGTAATAAGGAGTGGCATAAAAACTGAAACAGAAGTAACAACTACAAAAAAAGTTACATACCATTAGAATAACAACCTAGGTAAAAGGATGACCCTTACAAAATTATAGCCAGAAAAAAAGGACACCTTCAACTGCAAAAAATAATGAATACGTGTGGCCTAGTGTGAAGAATAAAACAGGCTGTATAATTCAGTAATTATATTTTTGAGTGCCAAGCACTGGGCAAGGTTATCTACTACCAAACAAGAAAAAATAACTACACTATGGCAAATCTTTGTGGAAAATTCCTATACTAATATATAAGTAGTTGTTCATTAAAATGAATTATCTTTGAAACTGACCCTGATTACATGCTGAAATTCATACTCAAAACTGTTAAAGACTATCTGAGACCTATCCAATTTACTAAATCCAAAGTCAAGTGAAAAAACATCAAGTACTTGCTTGAAACCTACACTGAATTCAGGTGTCATGAAAACACATAAAACATAGTAATTTTTTTGGTACCGGGGATTGAACTCACAACCTTGTGCCAGCCAAGATAATGATTTTTTAAAATGCCAAGAATTAGGCAGGCAAGGTAGGCCATCATCAATAATCCCAGCACTCTGGGAGGCTGAGGCAGGATAATTACAAATTCAAACACAGCCCGGGCAATTTAGACTCTGTTTCAAAATAAAAAATGGCTGGGGTTATAGCTCAGTAAGACAACTCAGTTCAATTCTCAGACCCCTCCCCTCAGTTCAAGAACTGAACTACCCCAAAGAAAGCATCTTCCTCTCATAGTTTTAAAAGCGGAACATCTGCAATTCACATACTAAAAGACTTAGGCAAGATTAAGGGTAAAACCAAACTGATAAAAACTTTCAAAATATGCTTACCAAAAGACTGACATAAATGAAAATGTTAACAGCTAAATACTACCTATTTCACAAATTATTAAGAGACAAATTTTGAAAATAGGGGTTGAACAATTTGGAATGAGGTGAAAGAAAACTAAAAACAATGGAATAAAAGTGTATCTAAGCAAAACATGATGAAAAGATGGTACATCCTTTCAAAGAAATTGTAGTAGTTTATATCACTGCACGTATTTGAATAAACCAAGGACGGATTACACCTGGGATTATCCAGCACTTTGGTGGCGGAGGAACAAGGATTACTATGCAGGCCAACCTGGTCCATACAGTGAAATTTTGTCCACCCACGCCAAAGTATGTAATTTTCTAGAATATATTTCAGAATGATATATAATAAACGGATTGTAAGATTAAACATGGCTCCACTTAGACAGGAGGTTTTGTAACAGGGGTCTTATACATAGCTCTATTTCAGCAATGGACAAGGGTTACCAAGAAAGCTTGTTATAAATGCACACTCCTAAAAGCTGAGTGCAGAGGCACACACTCATAGCCCCAGCTATGCCGGAGACTCAGGCAGGAGGAAAACCATTTGAGCCCAACATTTCAAGTGTAGACTGGGCAGCCAGATCTATCTCAAATCAAAGCAAAGAGCAGATTCTCCAGACCCAAATCCAGAATTTGAACTTTTAAGATCCGTGGTAGGACTCAGAAATAAAATTCCTCTAACAAGCACACAGTGTGACTATGGCAAATAGAGACAGCAGCACTTAGAGAAATCTTGCAAATTTTTTTTTCTTGAGCCAAAGTCTTGCTATGCAGTTCAGATTGGTCTCAAACTCATCACAATCTTCCTGCTTCAGCCTCTCAAGTGCTGGGATTACAGGTATGCACCACCACCCCTGGCAAATCTTGCAATATTTCAATTTAATTAAGATCTCCAGCTTACAAATAAGACAAACCAGATGCCTGTGGTGGTAAACAGCACTTGGGCTGTTGAAGCAGGAGGACTGATGAGAGTTTGAGGCCAGTCTAGGCTACAAAGTGAATTTGGGGCCAGTCTGAATTACACAATGAGACCCTGTCTCAATCACTCAGTCACTCAATAAATACCAAGATAAGCGAAACCTGTATGGTTAAATGCTTTACTCGAGTTTAGAGCTTCCTATCCTTGCCAGGTAGATCATCTTCCTCCAAACCTGGGCCTTTGCTGATTCTGTCTCTCCCATTATCTTGCTCCCATTTCCTAGTCACTTCAAAAGCCAACTTCTATGTTTAGGCATTTTGTGCCTGTCAGGGGCCACATGGGTTGTATTGCTCATTTTCCTAATATGGATAACAGCCCCTTAGTATCTCAGGAGTTGGTTCCAGGACTCCCAAGGATACCAACATCTGCAGGTGTCCAAGTCCTTTATGTAAAGTATGTGCCGTATTTGCATATCACCTACACACATCCTTACTCTTCAAACACCTCTAGACTACTTACAATACTATGCAAATGTTATGTAAGTAGTGTTATACTGTATTGTTCAGGGCACAATAGGAAGAAAAAATCTGTATGTGGTATAGACTTTTTTTTTGTACCGGAAATAGAACTCAGGACCTTGCATTTGACAGGCAGGGGCTTGTACCTAAGCTGTATATCCCTAGCCCCTACACGAAATTTTTTTAAAAACTATTTTTGATTCCCAGTTGGTTGAACCCATGGATACAAAATTCACAAACAGGATACCTGACTATATAACCTTTTCCATAAATAGAATAAAGGACCTGTACAGGAGAAGTTGAGCCTTTACTTTTGTATCCCTTTCTCAGTGAGACTGCATAAATATTGTATTCCTTTTTACTGCCTTGTATTTGTAAGCAGCATTTTGCTTTTCTCCAAGAATATGCAGCATAGTACAAGTCACAAAACAAATACTAAATAAAAAGCAGCTTACACTTAACTCAATAAAAGTTTCTCAAACTGTGTCAGGCCTCACAGTCAAATGTGAAACTAATTTTATGGGTCACAATATTAAACAAAGATAAGTAGGAGAGCTTGGTGTGCTGTAAAACATCTTGCTTATTGCAGTTGCAGTCAAAAATTTGAAGGTCACAATTCTGTAAATGTTGATTCATGATTCAGTTAACCTCTAGTACATGTTTGACAATTGTTAAGCAAAGATGTACTTTCTCAATCAACTAAGATTCAACCACACGGCCTGCCGTCTGCACTCTTCTTCGAAGCTAATACTAGGCTTTTTAAAATTCATTTGGGATACTACTAAGCCTAATGCTTGTTTTTCATCATGTAAGTGTTCACTGTTTAGATGAGTCATCCGAATGTTACCATGCATTTCGGATGGGCTCTTGGAGCACCTGTCTCTTGCCTCCAGTTCATCTGAAATTCTAGAAGCCCCAAAGAGGGCTTTGAAAATTTCACATCCTGCCACATTCACACAAGGCTTTAGGATTAACACGTACATTTTTTTCAGGATCACTTTTTCTTTTGCCCTGGAACAAACTTCTCTATTTCCACCATAACATTACTTTCTTGATGCTCTCTATACAATTTTTAATTATGTTTCTATATTCTCTTCTAAGTTAACACCAACAAAAATTATGCCCTTTTCTAGGTTTCATCTGTGCATCTTCCTAATAGCAAGCAGAATGTAAATTCTTATACAAGCCTAAGAATACACTGTGACCTGTGACATCTCTAATGTTGTTACCAACGATACTCTCCACTTTGTACAGTAACTTTTCTATCCCTCCATGGAATTAGTTTCCCACCTTCAAACCTTAACACTATGTTCAAATCTCTATTAGGCTAATTTATGAGTTTAAAGAATAATACAGTAATTATTTATGAATCTGAGTCGAATGCTAGCCCCTACGATTAACTCAACTATTGGTGCATATCTAACACTGCCCACAAACACATCGGAGAGAACGTCTTCTAGTAAGCCTCAGCACTGGTTTACTGAATTGTACTGAAAAAAATTTTTAAAAGATGAAGAGTTTAACTCAGTGAATATAAAAAGTTTAGATGTTTCTAATTCTGCACACTCTCCATATTCTCAATTTGCTCAACTTTAAAGTACTTACAAAGATAAAGTATGAAAGGTAATAGAACCACGGGAGAATGGCAATAAAGAATTCTGGAAGCAAAACACGACTGCCAGATAAAAGGGATGTGTGCCTTCAGTGTTTCCACATGTGGTGTTAGAGACACTCTTTCATCTTTCACCGTTCTGCCCTGTCATGCGGTTTTACTCAATTTCTGGTCCTCACCACGTGTAGAGTGTACAACAGACCTCTACACTGAACTTGCTTTAGCGCTTTCTTATAGGGCCACACAAACCTCAGAAGACTATTAGGTAACCGACTCCCTCTTGCCCTGCTCCTGTTCCGGCCTCGACTGGCCACATTCAAACCAAGAGTGTGTAACCATTTCCCTTTAACAGTACTAACTAAAATGGAAGCAGGTCTAGAACGGACAGCTTTAATCCTCTTTGGGTCACCAAGTGTTTCCTCCATTGGCTATCACTGGGATAAGAGCTAGGACAGACATCTGCCTTCGAGGAGATCTCGCCACAACTTCCCAACGTCACCTAAGGTCCCACTCGGCTCCACGTGCAGCCCCGCTGGAAGGCTTTGCTACTACGGTGACCAAGGTTCCTAAGACGGCTTGACCTCTGAGTACTTTTCTGCACAGCTATCGTAGGCCCTTAACCTACTTCCTCCAAAATGGGCTTCCCGGTCCGACCTCACGCTTCCCAGGTTTTCCCAGCTTCCCGGGCGTGCGTGCACCCCACTTCGCCTCCAGTGGTCCTGGGGGAGCCCAGCGCCTCAGGTCGCGCCGACCGCATATGCACGCTCGCGGCTGGGGCCCGGCTTCCCGTGGCCAGCGGTACCCACCCGCCGGCCCGACTCACTTTGGGCTTCTCGGGCTGCTTCTTCCGGTTCTTCTTCTTCGGCTCCTCGCCCCGCACGCTCCGCAGCAGGGCCGAGTCGTCCGGGGCCGGGCCCGGCGCGGCCACCGCCTCCTCCCGCCGGCGGGGCGGGCTCCTGCGCTTCTTGCGGGCGCCGGCGCACGCCGCGGCCCAGCCGTAGCCCAGCAGTACGAGCAGCAGCAGCCCGAGAGCGCCGGCGCCCACCAGGATCACCCAGCCCGGGTACCGCCGCGGCTCCAGCCCCAGGTCGAGGCCCAGCTCTGTGCGCAGGAAGCCCAAGGCGACCGAGAGCATCTCCCGCAGCCGGGCTGAGCCCTCCTCGGCCTGCTGGGCCAGCTCCTCTTGCCAGGTCTGCGCAGCCATCTTCCCTCGCGTCAGGGGGATTCGCAGGCTGACACCCGGGCGCGGGGACGCCGCCGAAGACCTGAGCGCGGCGCCGAGGTCCGGGCCGCCTCAGGCCGAGCGCATCGCGGTCGCTGTTCGCGACGGGGCCGGGGCTCGGCCGCCGCCACCGCAGGGAGGACGGGGGTGCTCTCGGGTGCCCCCGTATCAGCCTCACGCAGCCCCTGCCGCCAGGAGAAGGGGGAGAAGGGAGGGAGTGTCTCCAGTGGCGGCCGCTAAGCGGCGTCTCGGCGCCGGCGCCTGGCCCCGCTGTCCTCCCTTGGCGGAACAATGGCGGCTGAAGCTGTGATCCGCGGCGTGCGCGGGGCTGCCGCGGGTCACGTGAGCGCGGTGGGCGTGACGTGATCACGTGGACGGAGATGTGGGCGGAGCTTGAACGTAGGCTCAGTGGGGTGTGCGGGGACCTTGGGTTCCGGCGGGTGGGGACCCGGAGCGGGCGGGGGGTTGGACTTGGTGCCAGAGGACCCGGTGGGGGAAGCGTCTCTCCGTGGCGCGGAGCTAGACGTGGCGCTCCAAGCGAGTGCTAGAGAGGGGCCCGTGGAAGGCGGCCTGGGAAAGGCACGGAACTGGGGCGCGGGGTCTAGGTTTCAGCCCCTCCCCGGTTGCTGGGGGCGGGGTCTGTCATTTATGATTTTGGGATGATGTTGGAGTACAAATGAATTTTCTCCCTGAGGTCATCGTTCACTCCGGAGTCTCGTTCCCAGAATTTCAAAGTCAGGAAGCCCGTGGGCGGCACTATTATTTTCCCACTAATTTGTAGCTTTAACAGGAGGTAATATGATGAAGCACATTAGATTGTATTTACATGTAAAACTGGTTTGCTCCTTGTGTTTTATTTTAAGCTTTTATACAACGCTGCTAAAGGTGTCTCAAAAATTCCTTTAAACAAATACATATATGCCGTGTGTTGACTAACTGTGGGAAGTAGCGTTTGTAGGAAAACAAATTGCATTTTCAGATTTTAAGTGCAAAGATGTTTGGCAGCTACCGTACATTCGTGTGATATTTAAATTTCATTTTGCTATAAGAAAATGTAAATTAAATCATAATTGGCATGTGAACAAGTGAACCAAATACAACCAAAACGTGAACCAAATGTAATGGGTATTTTGACCTACTTTTCAGCAGTGTGTAATGCAAGTGATTAATGGGTGAGAGTTTTGTAAATAATAAAAGTAAACTACTTATGCTCACTTGATGCAGACTTATAATTAAGATTGTAAGACCAGAAAGGTGTCATTAGGATCCTCGTGAACTCTAAAAGTTAACACATTTTATTCAGATTTTTGAAATAAGATTTATAACATTACATATCTATTTTGAACGAAGGGCCGTGACTTTCCTAAGTAGTTCGGTTGGCCGTCCTTCCTGGTAAGCGGCTCAAGTAAGCCGCGAGTGTGCCAGGGAGAAAACAAGTCAGACCAAGAAAGCAACCAGTCAGCCTTCCTGATAAGTGCCACAAGCTGCAGGCACACCAGGGAGAGCAAGTCAGTGTCTCCCATGAACCTAATGGCGTGTGGGATCGCAACTATGGAACATGAAGCAACTAAATGCTTGTATTGTTTGGTTGATTATGCAGGCCTGAGGCCGGAGGTCTGACATCTCTTGGGAGGTTGACAGTATGCAAATATGGGGGATTTCCTTCTATCTTGTCTTTGAAAGCCAATATTGTTTTGCTTTGTTCTGATTAATTGTTTTGCTCTATTCAGTATTCTGTTTTGATTGGCTTTATAGGGTCTTGTTTATAGTTTGATTTTGCTATATCTGACTGAATGGATAACTCTTGTGAAGGGCACAAGATATACTATGGTACCTATTATTGTTATCCCAGTATCCTGCTCTCAAGTTCTGTACCAATTTTGCTGCGTTGTCTTGATTGGCTTTGTTCCATCTTGTTTTGTTGTATTTTACTATCTTTAAAATTTAAAAAAAAATCTGAAAGAGATCTCAACTGCTGTCCAGTGAGTAAGCTCCATCGGCCATTTCTTCACAGTTTTTTTTTTTTTTTTTTTTTTTGTCTTTTTTGTTTTTATGGGTACCAGGGATCGAACTCACGACTACCTGCTTGCAAGGCAGGCGCTTATGCCACTGAGCTAAATCTCCAGTCCCCCTTCACAGTTTTATTAAATTTCAACTCTTTCCTTTAGGTACATGGTATCTGTCCTCAAAAATCTCAAAACCTAGTGCTGAATTCAGGGTCACATGCTGTGTAAGTGGCACGAAGCTGTAGCTTAAAATTGATTTGAGCTTGAGGATCATAGTGGGTGTTGTGCTATCTCCCAATCTCCCTTCAGGAATGAGGGACTGTCTTGGTTACTTTTCTCTCCTTTTTTTATTTTTTATTTTTGTCTTTTTTGGTACCAGGGATCGAACTCACGACTGCCTGCTTGCAAGGCAGGTGCTTATGCCACTGAGCTAACTACCTGACGACCAAAGCAAAGGAAGGAAAGGTTTATTTAGCTTACAGTTTTTGGAGGTTTCAGTCCATACTCAGCTAGCTGCAAGGCAGGATGGTATGGCGGAGGGAGTAGCCGTTATGGCAGTCACAAGCAGCAAGTGAACAGGGCAAAAGGGGAGAAAGCATGCCTCCTTCCCGCCCTTATGTTGTATGTGGGTTATCTGCCCCTGGGTGGATGCAACACTTATACTGCCAATCCCAGCGCTAGACAATGAACCAATCACAAATGCTGGACTCAGCTGCCTTGGAAAGGCCCACCGCCCATGACCACTTGAAGCTTTGGGAAGAGTACTGAGAAAAATTTCCTCAGCCAGGGTCATATCTTCTTCAGGATACCTGACATCCAGTGACTGGATTTGGGGTATAAAGTTCTGGCCTTCTTGCCCAAACTTGGTGCAATCCTAAGGAGTTTCCCAGCTCTGGGACCCTCTGTGGGGCTGGCTGAGGACTGTTGATACCGCATCTCAATTCTGCTCTCCCTTTGCCCAATCCAGCTTCCTTCTCTTTCCCCTGGATTCCAAGAGTACATCCTAATAGATGGCCTTCCTGCTGGCTCGAAGTCTGCATGACAGAGATGAGCATGGAAAAGGGGTGACGAGGTACCTCTAAAGTGCTTCATATCACTGAGAAAGGAGAGACTGTTTCTGTATGTTCAGAGTAGAACACTACACGCCACATGGTTAAGTCTTGAGAGATGAGTTAGGATGTTGCAAAAAGAGAGTGGCATGAGAAGTCACCAGTGGCCCACCAAACATGTGTCTGGATAGCGATGAACCTTGTGTAAGCTATGAAGTCCATGGGATTTGGTGACTCAAGAAGAGGGGGTAGTCAAGAATGACCCAGAGCGTGCAGTTCATTTCCTTGCATTCTTAGTAAATTGCTGCCTATTGGTGACATTTCAAGTAAAATGTCATTTTCTCCCAGGAGCTGTGCCTCACTGCTAATGCCGGTCACTTCCTCAGGTTATATATTTTTATAACACCATGAACTTTTCATAATATTTGTCAAAACTGTAATTTCACAATGATTCTTCTAATTAGTTTCTCTCCCTTTCTGATTGTAATTTCCTCAAGAACAGGAACTTGTCTGTTTCAGCTCACCATTGTACTATATCCTATACCTAGTATAATAATGTATAGCACGTGGGTAGGTACCCTGAGCATAATTAAGAGAATGTATTAATGTTGGTGTGAGTAAAAAGACAAATGGCCGCACATACATGATACAAAGATATTCCTCTAATTGAAGTGTTTGGAACTTGGCTGCAGTTATCCCTGCCTTAGCATTCACACCCTTGTGTCATCCCTCCCCTTGAGAATGGGGGATCTGTGTTTCCCTTCTGATCCATGGGTGTAGCAAAAGGGGATGAGCTGTCACTGCTGAGTGTGCTACATGAGACTGTAGCCCCGTCTTCCTGGCCTTGGGGAATTGGGGTTCTTTGGAGACAGGCCTATGTGGCAAGAAACTGAGGCTGATCTCTCACCAACTGCCACCAAGCAAGCAAGATCCTTGGGTGATGACTGGAGGAAATGAATCTTGTCAGCAGTCTTATGTGTTTATAACTAGATCCTTCCCTGGCTGAGCATCCAGTGAGACTCCACTGCTGCCTAATATTTTCTAAGAGACCCTAAAACATAGAAGCCAGATAGGTTGTGCCCCTATTTTGACCCAAGAAACTGACAGCACAGTGTTATTTTATTTTACTTTTTGTCTTTTTCATTTTTATCAGTACCAGGGATCGAACTCATGACACCTGCTTGCAAGGCAGGCGCTTATGCCACTGAGCTAAATCCCCAGCCCCAGCACAGTGTTATTTAAAGCTACTAAGCTTGTGGTCCTATTGTTGCGTAGGTACCTGATCTGGATATTTTGGAACCTGGGAGCAGGGTGCTGCTAAAAATGTGGGTATGGGTTTGAGACCGAGGAATGGTCAAGGTCAGAAGACTTTTGAAGAGCCTACAAAAGCCCAAATTGCTCTGAAAACACTGTTAGTAGATATATGGGCTTTAATAACATTCCCAAGCTCAAAAGGGAATGAGGAGCATGTTTTTGGAAATGGAGGAAGATATATTTTCAATACATAACAGTGAACAGAAAATGCCCCCGACCCCAGCCAGTACACTTCAGTTTCTTAGTTACCCAGGTAACAATTCTTGTTACAGTTCCAGTTGCTTTTGTCTCCTAGAAACAGTTGGTCACTATAATACATATTGTAAGAACCAATCAAAAACAACCAAGTACTCTACCTCTGCACATACACCCTGTTTTTGCAACCCCATAAAAACCTCTCTCACTGGGCCTTTGAGGCTTGATATTTTGAGGGACAACTGATTCCCTGCAAGTGCCTGTCTGATGTTAAATAAATCTGCCTCCAAATCCTGGGTGTTGTTTTGGCGTTTCTGTTTGCTGTTGCAACAGCAGAAAAGTTACTCAAGTGTTTCCTGCAATTATGTAGAAAGCAGAATGTGTAAATGATGAACTGGTGTAGGGCAATGGATGTTTCCAAGCAAAGTGTCAAGAGTGCCACTGAGTTTCTTCTTAATATTTATGGTAAAAATACAAGAAGAAAGAAATAAATTAAGAGAGCTTGATCAGAAGGCCTTGATTTTGAAAATTCCATTTCTTCAGATGGGAGAAGATGCTAGAGCTGAAATAGTTCCCAAGTACCATCAGGAAAAGTGGCAGAGAA